AAACAGTCTCAATTTTAACATTTTACAATTGACTTTGTAGTTCATTGTACTGAGTTGGACAATAGTTCTCTTTTCATCTAAAACCAACCTACATATTTTCCTGTTTATGGGACAGTCACAAATAGGCTATTTGAATTATCTGAAACTAAAAACCCATGTTAGACCAACAGAATATTCCAAAAAGTGGCCCTGACTAGTCAAACATAGTTGTCTGAAGAAAGAATTTCATATTGAACAATATTGCGGAAATGTTATGGGTTTGTGAGTTCCCAGCATACATTGCATCATGAATAAATCATCCGGTTACTGTTAACGGATTATTGTTTTCCTGTTTGCTGACTTTATTCAAATGTTGCCTTGAATGGGTCATTGTGCATTTATTGAACAAACAAATTTAGAATTACGAAACAAATACTAAGGATCATTTTAAGACAACAGCTGAGAGAACTTAAATGCATCATTTTAGGTACAAATGAGAATGAATCTATTATAAATGTATCAAGGCAAAGATCTTCACGTTCATCAGCCCTTGGTGAACCTATGGAGTGTGGAGGTCTTGAATGAAGACAAATATGTTGTGTGGCTTTTATCGCTGGGGTCTGTGATGAGGTGAGTATTACCAAGGAACCAGTCAATAATCTCAAACTTTCACAATAGAACCTTGACAACCACCAAGAGCAGCTTTTGCATCATTAGTGGTTCTTTGTATATTAGCAGTCTTTATTAGGCAGGGTAAGTGCAAATCTGACAATGACAGTTATAAGCCTTAGAAAAAAGGTAAGTTTTTAACTTGGATTTAAATTCAGATTCTGAAGAGATATGGATATTATAGGCTAAAGCACATGATCAGTGACAGAAAACAATTGAATTTGGGTTAAAATGGATAAAAAAATATGGCAGTCAGCAAGCACCATGCATTTACAAAAATTTCCAATAATATAAACTCCCTTTTAGGTTTTACCCATAACAATGTATATAATAAACTTAAATGACCAATTTGTAAAATGACCCCATGACAACCACACTACCATTCAAAAGTTTGGGGTCAGCAATTTTTAAATAATATTATTATTATTTTAATAATTATTATACTTTTATTTAGCAAGGAAAAAAGTGAAAGTGAAAGTAAAAACATTTAATATGTTATAATACATATATATGTAAAATGCTGTTCTTTTGAACTTTCTATTCATCAAAGAACCCTGAATTTAAAATATATTGATAATAAGAAGGGTTTTGTGAGCACCAAATCAGCATAGAATGATTTCTGTTATTTTAAATTGTAATATTTCACAACATTACTCTTTTACTATATGTTCTATCAAATAAATGCTGCCAATTGAAACATTAAAATCAGCCTAATCAGCCCTAAACTTTTGATCAATAATGTATATTTCCATATTTATCACAAAATTGCATGATGAAACTTTGACATATTCATAAAGATGATAATTCATAATGAAATTACACATTATTCTTAATCATGTCCTTTTAGATGTACTTATATTTTTAAATATGATCTTTTTCATGTGTCACATTAATTACCACTGAATGAGGCTTTGACATGTAACATCATATCAGAACACAACATTGTATTATGGCTGAAAGCCTCTCTCAATTGGAAATTGCTACAAAGCAGTTTGGGGCCATCAACAAACTGTAGCACTAATGAGAAGTCATCTGTGGAAGTGTGTTCAGGTCCTGCTCTGCTGTCTGAGGGAGCATGGGGTCATAAAATGTGTATCACTAAACCTCAATGGATGTCTTGTAAGCTACAAGAGCAGATCATTATACAGTATATGAAGCAATGCCCTGCTCATACATTCATTTCCCAGATTCATTTAATTAGAGGTTGCAGAGCATTTGTACTTGTATTAATTATGCTATAATATTCTGATGAGCCTTCAAGGGATTAGAATAAATTTGGGATCAAAGTGCTCTTGTGTGTTTGGATCTGAAAGTGCTTCTCATTGTTTAACATGGATGAGGATCATGCATATAATCAGCATCTTAAAATCAGAAAAGTAGGTGTTTAATTAGTTGACTACAGAGGAGTGAAGACTTTATTCATCTCATGAAATGCTCTCTCATTACTTTCAGTCTTCTGAACAAAAGAACTGGATTAGACATTTCTCAGACAAAACTGCAAGTCTCTATAAACTGCTACTGTTTGCACAGTATTTCTTGTATTTATTATAACTTTATTGACATTTACATTTCAACAAAATCACCAGATGGAGTGCCCTTGATAGCCACCAGAGGGCACTCCATCCCATACCTTTGCCACTCTATCCTGGACTACATTTCCCATAACCCATTGCCCGGACTCATCATGCCTGATTGTTTTCACCTGTTGCTCGTTACCTCTGCCTATATAAGCCTGGTGTTTTCAGTCACTCTTTGTGAATTTTTTTCCATTTGTCTTTTTTGTTTTTACCCTGGGATGCCCATCTTGAGGTAACTAGAGGTTACGCCAGCTCCAGTGTGCAGGGGTCTGCATCCTCTCTTCACAGGTGTTGGGTCACAGAAAGACTTCAGATGAAGTCCTGCAAGGACCCCAGATGACGCCAACTTGAATCGATATTTACAACTGCCAAAATTTGTTCATTTGTTCATAATCATTATGATCACACTTGTACAAATCGCTTTAATGAGCTTCTGCCTGAAGTTAATTCATGGTAGCTAACTGTATGATTCTATTATTTTGAACTGTTCGTTTGTGAAGAGGGGTGCTGCTATGCCACCAAATGGAGTGCCCTTGATAGCCACCAGAGGGCACTCCATCCCATAACTTTGCCACTCTATCCTGGACTACATTTCCTATAACCCCTTGCCCTGACTCATGCCTGATTGTTTTCACCTGTTGCTCATTACCTCTGCCTATATAAGCCTGGTGTTTTCAGTCACACTTTGTGAAGTCTTCCATGTGTCACAGCTGTAGTTCTAAGCCTTTTATCCTGGTTCTCTCGTGTCTTGTTTTCCTGGTTCTTTATATTTTGCCAGTTTATCTGGATTACTGTTTGCCTCAGCCCTGAAAACTGTAATTGTTTCGGATTGCTTAGTGTTTGACCCCATGTTTTGTCTACGATTGTGGATTACCCTTTAATAAACTACTGCACTTGGATCCTCAGACTTTGTGTCCCTGTGCAGTTTTGTGACAGTTCCCTATTATATTGTGCCCTGAAATTATATGAAAACTGAAAGTACACAGGTCATTGGAATGTATGGATAGTTGTACTTAGACTGTGGCATGAAGGAAAAATGGAAAAACTACTAACAATAGTTTTCAAGGACTAGTTCACCCAAAAAGGGTTCAGGCCATCCAATGTAGACAAGTTTGTTTCTTCACTGGACAATAAAATGGACAAATTTGGCATTACATCGCTCACCAGTGGATCCTCTGCAGTGAATGGGTGCCATCAGAATGAGAGTTCAAACAGCTGATAAAAACATGAGAATAATCCACAAGTAATTGACAACCCCACTTCATCAATGAATGTTTTGTGACGCAAAACTCTGCATGTTTGTAATAAACACATCCATCATTAAGACATTTTTAACTTCAAACCATTGCTTCCTCAAGTCATATAATATTGCTTCCAGTGAAAGAGTCATCTTGTTTGAATCAGGAGAGAAATATGCACAGATCAACCACCGTTTATGAGCGAAAACAGTTCTAAACATATGTGAGTGAGAACAAGATGGACTTTATTTTAGCTGTTAAGAGTTATTTTGACTATTATGACAAGAATTGCCAATAAAAATTTGTTTTTTTTCCTACCTCCTGATATACAGACACAATCGCACTATGCCTTATAAGTGTCAAGGTGCTTATAGATTTGGAACTGATGTTGAACGTATTTTTTCATATACGCAGGATATATCTGGAAGCATTTCACAACAGCTGTCACTGCCTCACAACCAAATATAAAAGGCTGTTATATGATTTAGCTGAGATGGTGAGAAAGTGTTTGTGCCCTCAAATTGATGGAATATCAGAAAAAAGAAAAAAAAAACATCTCAAAATAACTTAAAATAACTGCCAAAATAAAAAGACATTCTAAAAACTGAGGATTGGATAAAGCTGAGTCCAGAGAAAATAAGAGAATCCAAGAATAAAACAGACAAAATGTTCAGTCTCCACAGTGAAGCACTGGTTTCCTGACACAAGCTACAGGGTAGTTTATAATCATGATATGAGACAGAGCTACGAATAACAAGACAATGCTGGTAGGACACTACAGATACAGTATGTATGAGATACAGTTTCTCCAAAGCACATCTTCAACACTTCACTGTTCTTGAGTGCCAAGCAGAATTAATTTTACCGTGCCCACAGTCCTCTACACACAGACAGATCAGAGACATGAGCCTGGAAACGGGGAAAGAAACAAGACATATTCTGTGCCTTTAAAACGGTATGAGTTGTTTCTCCCTATACACCTACACCTTTTACATAAGGGAAAATCCATAAATGAGGATGAAGACAAAAATGTAATCCAAATTAATGTCACTTGTTTTCATTCAGGTTTAAGCATTACACAGCCTTGCATTCTAATTGGGTATTTCTTTAATGAACTACAATTATTAATTTTTTTGCATACTTGATTTTGATGGGCCAATCTCATCCAGATAATACAGTCAGGCGGTGATTATTGCAAACTTAGAACCTGTCAGAAATCGGAAAGTGTAAAACTAATTTTAAACCTGACATATTTTTAAGACTGAAGTCTAGACGAGGAACAGCAGGTTTTTATGTACAATTCAAGTCTGAAGGACAAGAAGGATAGAAATGACGTCAATGACATCCGTTTGCTCAGTCTAAAACTTAAGGCTATTCAAAACATTCGAGCTGAGCAATTTTTTTCCCTATTAGTTCAATCAACTGAATGGAATTATTAAATGATCCTTAATGGGCTCTACTGGACAAATAACACAACTAAACAGTTTTTTCTAATGATTGAAGCAAATTGTTCAAACAATATGTATAAAAAGAGTAATTTAATAACAAACATTTACATTTACATGAATGCAAATGATCATCCAGCAAGACCGTCACATTAAGTAAAATCTCAAGTAATTAAATGTTTTATATACAAATGAGGTGACATTTTTATAACAGTGTGCAAATGTACCTTTTAAAGGTCAGCATTAAAACTTTTATTAGCATTAATGTGTGGTTTATTAGGTTAACAATTTTCTGTGTTTGTTGTCTTATATTTTACGAGGACAAAATATAACACTGCCAAGCTAAAGATAGAGTCAAACATGTAAATAAGATAACAGGATGCATTAAATCACTTGATTTAATGAGTCTGACAGAAATTGTAATAAAAAAATATTTATGAAATGCGAGTCAGCAATTAGTTCAACATACTGTGCCTTTCTAAATAAGTTGCCCTCGCATGGGAATAAACTGGACACTGTGTGGGAGCCAGCGGAAACGGAACCTTGCCATCGGAGAGTCGTCAGGGTTCTCAAACTCAGAAAAGCCCAGATGGTTGAGGATGGCATACACACCAGCTCTAGCCGCCACCTGCAAACCAGCAAAACTCATGCATTTCAAACACTTGAACAATAAAAGGAGTGATACTCCATTACTTAATATTTGCTTAATATAATAATATATATATATATATATATATATAAGTGGGGATTACTGCAAGCTGTACACTTATGTGAATAAGTGGTGCAACTGCTCACTTGTCCTGAAAGGTTGGCAGGATGACAGTGAAATGCTTTTGTGGTCTTGACAGAATATTAAACTGGTGCATTTTCAATGTACTTCACAACTGAATAAATCTTATTCAATAAAAGCTTTCATAAAAACCTATAAAGTGCTTCACCAGCTAAATCTACCTTAAGAACAACTTTGACTTTTTCTTTGTAAATCTGAGGACAGACTGTTTAGTGGGCAAATGAGGTGATAATCTCTTGCTTAACAATTCAAGCTCAACTATATCTGTTAGAGCAGAGTTCTTCAAACCAGCATCTAATCAAATAAATACACCACCCTTCAAAAGCTACGTTTTTTTTTGAAAGAAAGAAATCAATACTTTTATTCAGCACTCACAGAAAAGACATTTATAATGGTACAAAAGATTTCTATTTCAAATATAGAAATAAATATAATTTATTTCTTATAATTATATAATATATGTTACATGATCAGACAACAACCTCCTGGACAGCAACCAATCTGGCTTCAGAAGTGGACATTTGACCGAGATTGCCTTGCTCTCATTTGTTGAAGCCCTAAGACTAGCAAGAGCGGCTTCCAAATCTTCTATATCATTCTGATGATTTATTAAAAAGGTATCTTGTCTCACTTTTTTCTGTGTATTTATTATACCATTTTAACGTTTATTTATAGTTTTTATTGATTTTATATATATATTACTTATATTGAATATTTAGTTTTATTTTTTGTGTTTAATTTTAATTTTAGTTAAAGTTCTAGTAACTTTGTGCTTTGTGTGTGTGTGTGTGTGTGTATATATGTATGTATATATATATATATATATATATATATATATATATATACTGTATATATAAATACATTGATACATGTACTGTTATGTTTAATGCAATTATATTTACATAATTTGATATTATTTCTATTTAATTTTTCATTCTGCTTTCTAAAGGTGGAAAATCATGAGATTACTCATGGTTATTTTTTTCTTTTCAATGCCATAGTTTTCAACAGTATAAATAAGAAAACACTAGGTGACTTACAGTCTTCCAATTATCTTGTACCCCGTCAATCTGAGGATAAAAGCTGAGGCTATAAACTAAGGTTTGACTCAGGAAACCTCTGAATGAGACAGAATACATTTACAACTTCATATTGACAGACTGACATTTTCCCATGAATGTTTCATGGAACTCAGAACTATGTTTAGATGCAGTACAGTGAGCCTGAGGAGTGTTCAGCCATTCATCTTTCCACAAGGCACTGGTCTGCTGCACCATGGGTGTCCTCCCATCAGCTTCTCAAGGGTACAGAAATATTTTAACTGTAGATAGGCTTGTGTGTTGAGTATGAATGGCAGGTTATACCTGTATCTTTCTTCAGACTGAAAGTGAACTTAGTGTAAAGTCACTTAATGAAAGTGTAACTATTTTTTAAGAAGATATCTTTAAAACAGCACACTTTATCTTGATGTTTTCAACAGAAACAAGGTCATCAGTACTCAAAAAGGCTGATCAGTGATTAATGCACTTTTTGCTATTTTTGTGTTAACAAACTCACATTCCAAACGCAGGAGACCACATTTTGAAGCTGTTTTTCTTTTCTTTTTTATTTAAACCAGGAAATAAAGTTTTAGTGTTTTGTAAAACTGAAAACAAAGAAAAGGGTCACACTTTATTTTAAGGTCCAATTCCCTCAATTAACAAACCATTAACTACAACTTTTGCCTCAATACTCTACTAATTTGCTGTGCTGCTTATTAATAGTTAATAAGGAAGTTGTTACGTTTAGGCATTTGGTAGGATTAGGGATGTAGAATATGGTCATGCAGAATATGTGCTTTATTAGTACTAATAAACAGCCAATATGTTAATAATAGGCATGCTAATAAGCAACTAGTTAATAGTGAGAATTGGTCCCTATACTAAAGTGCTACCAAGAAAATTTATGAGGTAAAATGAACAAGAAATATTGAGAGTTCTGCCCTCTTAGTAGGCCACTGCAACTACTGAAAAAAATACTGAAAGTAATGAGTAGTAAGTTTAGATGTGGTCATAATGTCTGATATAACTGAGCTCTGAATTCTCTGATGATAAATTGCTATATTTTTATTTTATTTAAGATATGTGACCCTGGACCACAAAACCAGTCTTAAGTGTCAATTTTTCAAAATTGAGATTTATACATCATCTGAAAGCGGAAAAAATAAGCTTTCCATTGATGTATGGTTTGTTAGGATAGGACAATATTCGGCCGAGATACAACTATTTGAAAATCTGGAATCTGAGGAAATTGCCTTTAAAGTTATCCAAATGAAGTCCTTAGTAATGCATATTACTGATCAAAAATTAAGTTTTGATATATTTACAGTAGGAAATTTACAAAATATCTTCATGGAACATGATCTTTACTTAATATCCTAATGATTTTTGGCATAAAAGAAAAATTATTTTGACCCATACAATGTATTTTTGGCTATTGCTAAAAATATACCCTAGTGACTTAAGACTGGTTTTGTGGTCCAGGGACACATATGGGGTTTTTTGGGAAAAAAAAAAAACATTTAAATTTTATTCTGAAATAAAATAATTTTTATTTTATATGTATATTTTTTATATTCAATTTTTTTTTGTTATTCCACGGTTAGTCGATTAAAATACACAATTACATAAGCATGAACAGCTTGCAGGTGATATGTTTTTTCCCCCAAAGTAAGCAAGTGAGTCAGGCTTCACCTGGTACATCCACTGGCTGAAGGATCGCCTCCAGGAGTCTTTCTTCTCCAGGTGGAGGTAGCAGTTGAACAGGGTGAGATAAATGTAACGCTCGAGGTACTGCAGGCTCCTTAACCGCAACCACTGAGCATCAGCCTCTGATTTAGCCATCTTAATCTAAAGAGGAAGAAATGCCAGTGAACTCATTGTTATTCCTCTAGTTTCCCTCTTATTTTTGACAAAATGCTGATGGCACGAAATAATCAGCTGTTCGTTAATTTTTTTAAGATTATAATTTCAGGTATTATCTTCAATATCCATTCACTTTGATAAGTTTTGGTATAAGCAGCCTTCTGAGATCTACACAAACAAGTGATTACATCAATATTTGCATTGCTTGGTTGACTATATACATATTACATATTTCTGCTTTTAACAAATTGTGTTCCTTAGTAATCTATTGAACCTCTACTTTTTTTTTTTTATTAGATAATTTACAAAAATATGTTTGAAAAAAGGCCTCAATAATGTCACATGCAAATGATTTACCCAGCAGAAAATGAATTAACTATTTTTCACCTTTTCCATGTTTTATCAACAGAGACAGTAAGTGAGATGACAGGAA